TCCTGGATTATTATTTATCGGGAAGAGTAAAAGATAGTACTTATACCGTAATCGTCCAACTACAAGGAATGACATGATTACCCGAATAACAGAAGCAATTCTATCTTTAAGTAGCGATGAAATTCTTCGAGGAACCAATTCTTTTCAAAACAGAGTAGACATTTGCATTGAGAAGATTGGTGCTCACTTTGAACACTACCTTACTTGAGTACAGTTCTAAAGATTATTATTAACTCGGAGCGCTAGAACCAAAATTGAAAGAGTTCTCGCCGATTTCTGAGCTGAAGGACATGGAAATATTCGACTCGTGGGACGAAAATCGGCTAGAACACTTTCAATTTTGGTTTTAGCGCTCCGAGTGTTAATAATGATCTTCAGAGTTCATGAGGAGCTAACCAGAGCTCTGAATGGAACGTCGGATTTCCGAAAAAATCTTTCGATCGGAGGGACATGGAAATATTCGACTCGAGGTACAAAAATCGGCGAGGACTCTTTCAATTTTGGTTTTAGCGTTCCGAGTGTTAATAATAATCTTCAGAACTCGTGAGGGGCTAACCAGAACTCTGAATGAAACATCGGATTTCCGAAAAAAAAATTTTACGTGTTTAATAAACAATCAATTTTTTTGAAAATCCGATGTTTTATTCATAGTTCTGGTTAGCCCCTCACGAGTTCTAAAGATTATTATTAACACGCGACGCGCTAAAAGCAAAATTGGTAGAGTTCTTGCCATTTTTCGTTTTCTAATTCGAGAATTTTAAATATAATTTTTCTTATTGTTTTAAACAGAACTATTTTTAAAACTTATCTAGAACTGTAGAACTATTAAAAATCTATCTAGAACTCTAAAAAAATTGTCATTTTTTACATAATGAGGGGCGTCGTGAAGTTGACCCTCCGATTTTTAAAATGGTATTTTCTCTACTTTAAATGACGGAACTCTTTCTTAAAGGATTACGAACTCTAGAACTCTGCGAGGGGCATTCAGAACTCTAATAATTTTTTTCAAATTTGAAGAATGAAGGGCCATCTTCACAGAGGTGATGGAGCGAACACATTCTCTGTCTCTCTTTTGCTTGGCTCGTCGAAACAAGTCGAGCGGAGGGCGGGGTCTCAAAGGAAGTGTCATCGACGAAACGTGCAATGCTTGCGATGCCCGTGTGTTGTATGCAATACGTGTATTTTCTTAAAAAATGAAAAACAATTTATTGTGATACACGTATGTTGTATGCAGCACGTGCATTTTCCTAAAAAACGAAAAAAAAAAAGATTTGCGAAAAAGGACAACGCCGACCGCCAAGGAGATGCGAACCACCGACTTCAACCCCCCGAGTCCAGCGTACTTCCACCAAGCCACACACTCTTTGAGAAGCTCGCTCCTTCATTTGGTTGATGACGCACTCGCGATTTTCTATCGCGACTTTCTTGCAAACGCTTCAATGCTACGCCGTATCTTTAAGTGCAATGTTAATTTGTCATGCAAATCTATCGACACAATGAGTTTAGTCGAAATCGATTGCTATTGATCATCTCGTTGGATTCACGCCGAGAGTGAAACGTCAGTCTCGGCCGTGTGTCGAGAAGCACAATCTCGGCAACGTTGCGAACCAGAGCGAGATGGAGCGAATACATTCCCTCTCTCTCTCTCTTTCGCTTGGCTCGTCAAAACAAGCCGAGCATAGGGCGGGACTTCAGACGGATAGACGGGAGCAGTTTCTCTGCGTGTGTGTGCCGACTTCATTCTTACATAGAAACGTACGGCAATTGAAAATGTTTAAGCTTATACCCTGAGATTCTATCTGTTGCGTATGACATGTGTGCGTGTGTGCGTGTGCGTGCGTGCGTGCGTGCGTGCGTGCGTGCGTGCGTGCGCGTGCGCGTGCGCGTGTGCGTGTGTGTGTGTGTGTGTGTGTGTGTGTGTGTGTGTGTGTGTGTGCGCGCGTATATGCACACGTACGTCACGCACACTTTCAATGCAACACATGCACACGGACACAACTGCGCTAAAAAACGCCTGCCGGAGTATAAATAAATACTACCGTAACACTGAAATATTTTGGAAAAATAATTTTGGGTACACACAAAATATTATCTTATTATCATATATTTATATATCGATATAAATCATATATAATCTTCATGATATTAATTATATACAATCTCAATTCTTATTTTTTTTGTGCATGTTAACATGTTAATTCATGTTACAAATGCATAACAATGCGCGAAACCGTGCTTGTCAAGTACGCTATTATGGTTGTAGCACGGACATAAACCTCCTGAAAGTGGATGTAGCACGGACAGCCACCAGGTGCAGGTTTTATTGTCGAGACCTAAAAGTGGATGTAGCATCGTAGTTCCCCTCTCAAAATGGATGCAGATAGCGCCCATTCCCAGTGCGAAAAATCGGCGTCGCCGAAAACGCTGTGCTGGCCGCTCTCAGCTTCCTCTCTGATAGATATTATATTGGTATAATTTAAAATATAAAAATTTGTTAACCTGAATAACTTTTATTATATAGGTTATATATTTTTCGTTTTCAATATTTCAGGAATGTATTAATGGAATTATAAAACAATAAATAAACATGAGATAGTAAAAAGTCAGCAATTTATTGACAATATAGGATAAAAATTGAATATTAAAAAACATTGAAATAAATAAAAATTATTGTTATCTTATATATATATATATATATATAATTATTACCCTAGATTATTAAGACTTATTAAAATAGTTAAGAAACATAATACAATACAATAATTATAATACAAACAGAATACTTTATATATTTTATCAAAAATCATATTACAAATTGATCTTTGCATTGTGCAACAGCAGTTTTAGTTTTGTTGACAATCAAACATCTTTGGAAATGCCAAGATATTTCAGTATTGTCATAAAATAATGTTAAAATAACTATATTTGACACCTTGGACAGTGATGGGATATGGGCAGAGATATGGGGTTGGAAAGAGAGGAAGAAGATGAAAGAGATGAGAGGTTTATTAGATGGACAATGGAAATGGGATGGAGAATGCCAGGATACATGATAAGGAAAGAGACAGACAGAGAGAGAGAGAGAGAGAGAGAGAGAGAGAGAGAGAGAGAGAGAGAGAGAAAAGATGAGAGGGAAAGCAGAGAAAAGAGCATAGAGTTTTGAAAAAAGGCTACAGGAGGACAAAGGGGGTGGAGGTGGCGGGAGGAGAAGGATGGAGATGGTGGCGGGGGGGAACAAGGTGAAAGAAAGAATATATTGGGAAGAACAGAAGAGGAAGAGATATAGAGTGTGTAAAGGAAAAAGCGGGACATGGGAGCATGTATAGCAGGATTATATGAGATGAAAAGAACAGGAAGAGGTAGGACGGATAAGGGTGATGAAGAGGATGTTGGGAAGTGTGGAAAAGGAAGTAGATTGGAGGAGTAGTGGAAGAGATGGAAAAGGGGTAGAGACAGGAAAGGGTGGAAATGGGAGAGAAAAAGCTGATGGGATGTAAAAAATTATAACTCCATAGGAGGTCAATAAACAGTTACATACATAAGTACAATATTAAAATAACTATTAATACTATTAATATATAATAATAATTAATATATAATAATAATTAATATATAATAGGCTGATTAATGTCCGTTTTGGTGATAGACATCTTGTTTCCAGCTTGCAGTGATTTGGATTCATACAATGTCTGTTGTAAATGCAACAAACTGCAAATATCAGCAGTTGACACCAGTTAAACCCAACAAACAAGTCAATTAATATGAATTATAAAGTAAAGTAAAAGGAAAATAAGAAGTAAAGTACGGTAGAAACAGTTTAAGGAAAAGAATATGAATACATGAAAGTGTAATAGACATCATATTGCTAATATATTGCCATGGCAATCCGCCATTTTCTGAACTGTACAGCTAGCACATATGCAAACGAGAAAACTCGACTCTTCAGTTTTTTAGCATTGTCGTCACTGTATATAGATAAACTGTGATAATACATCGACGAATTATCACATAACAACGCGCATATGACTAAATTAGGTGCGTCGCAAATACGATCGTCATTCTTCTGAATTTCAAAAGATAATAATTGATAATAATTAATAATAATAAAAGATAATAATTTGTTGAATGTTGTTTCAACATTGTAGCAATATAACAAATCAATATAGAAGACGCAAGATTCAACGTTGAAACAATATTTATACTTTAACATTCAACATTACAACGTTTCAGAAACGTTATTTCAGCTTTCTGTGCTGTAGGGATATGGTACTTATTGTTTATCACATAAGTATAACTGTTTAATGTAATTATGATAAAATAATCTTACAAACTTGGGTATAATATAATTGTATAACTTGTACTAATTAAACTAAATCGTATAATTGTATAACTATATAGAGCAGAGTTTAAAAAATTACCATTTTAATTTACGTCAATATTATTTGTCTAGTCAATTGATACATCTTATCAAAGTATGAAAGTATAAAGATAAAAAATTATCTATAAGTAAACACCTTTCGAAATATTTTATATCTTAAGATATTCTGATATATAAAACCAGAAAAATCTTAAAGTAACTCCTTTTTAATTCCTTAAAGTAACTCGTTTTTTTAATATATAGTGTATATAAGAGCACATTATACATAGAGTATGTAAAAGAATGTATATAGAAGTACATATAAGTATTCATTGCTCATATAAAAAGAATATATACAAGTGAATTCATTATAAACAAACAGATTATTACATAATAATGATTTGTACAATAATTTGTAACAAAGTTACAAATTATTATGCAATTATTATGCGATTATCATGCAATAATCTGATTACAATGAATTTGCTTGTGTATACACTTTTCTTATATACATAATAAATACTTACATATACTTACATATACTACGTTGTTATAAACTATTGTAACTTTGTTACAATTTATTATGATGCAATAATATATTTATATTTATACTTTAATAATAATAATAATAATATATGTTTGTTTACAATGAATTTACCTATATACATTCTTCTTATATATACAATAAATACTTGTATACACTCTTATATACATTCTCTATGTATAAAGGTATTAGAATATACGCATGAATACTTAGGAATTAGTATGCTTATCACGCGATGTGACTTTGAGACGAATTCCGTCCGCGTTGACTAGCACTAATTCAGATATGAAGCGCAGCTGGTCTTCCCTGTCGAGGGCTTCCACGTGAAAAGATCTGAGTATCATTAGGATGATTACTTTGACTATGATAGTGGCGAACTTCCAGCCGATGCAGTTGCGCGAGCCAGCGCTAAAGGGGATGAAAGCATATCTGGGCAGCTTGGGGCTGTCCGGCAGGAATCGCTCTGGCCGATAAACGTGCGGATCGGAAAAGTGACGGGAGTCGCGATGCAGCAAGTAGGAATTTATAAGAACGGTCGAGCCAGGTGGAATTACGTTGCCCACTAGAAACGCAAAGAACACCTCATGTGTTTTTCTCCGTCTTACGTCCACACATTTTATGTCTAAATTTTTTTATTAAAAGTCGAATACGAATCCGAAAGAAGACCAAACACGCACCTAAATGTAAGCATTGGGCAAAAAATTATTTCGAAATTGTTTTATTCAGTGTCGGAACATGAGAAGAAACTACATAAAAAGAAACGCGTTACCTCTCTTCATTTTAACCTTTATATTAATTTCCTATTATATATTATTAGGCAAATATTATTAAAAACTTGTTAAGATTATTTTCCTCTCCGCTGTCTAAAAGCCCAGTGATGAAGAAGAAAAGAGAGACGGAGAGAAAGAAAGGAAAATCCTAGTAGCGCGTGTTGGTTTTACATACGTTTTCTAAACATATGTAACGTTTCATAATCGTTTGTAAAACGTCTCGGAAACGTTTCTAAACGGCACATGTTACCTGGGAAGTGAGCGGAAAATTAACGAGATACTCACTTATTTCGATCGGCTTGTAAATTTGCCTGGCGATGAGCGGAGCAACCGCGTATAATCTCCACTGCTCCTTTACGCAAGCATCCAACCATGTCAGTTTACTTAAGTTGTCCAAGGAGATCTTCTCCGTACCAATTACCTCGTCGAATTCATCCAGAATTTTTTTCTGCAACCAAACAAGAGAACGTTGAAATTAAGTTAAAGTTAAGAAATTAAGTTAAGCTCTAGAATGCGAACAGAGACCCTACGCTTCCCCTTGCGGTTTCCCTGAAAATATCACGTTCAAGCACTTCACGATCAATGGAAGTCGCATCGAAGATGTAGCAACGAATTTTAACATACTTGGTATTCGGGATGCCGACCAAGCGCATAAAGCGTCCAGGACACGCTGGTAGCCGTCGTATCGTGTCCAGCATACATGAAGGTGTTCACTTCGTCACGGATGTCGTTGTCGGTGAAATCGGTGTGTTTGTGAGACATCTCCAGCAACAGGTCCAGTAGAGCCTGCTTCTTCGTCGTCGACTCGTTGAAGTTCCCATCGCACTTTGACATCCACTCCGTTTTCCTGTTCGCGATGACCTGAGCACGCGAAATAATCCATGTAAAACAGGCGTCATACATGCCCCAACATTTATTTATCGTTATTAGTAAAACGTTAAATGTTTTATTTAAGTTAAATTTATTACAAAGATAAATTTATTCAGCGTTTTGAAATTTTACACTTTTGCATTCATAATGTTGCATATCGTTTACGCACACGACGTATATTTCTTTTATTTCTACACCGATGACCGTAAGCAAAATAATTACCTTCTCAACTAAGTCGTTGATAATACGGAGGGCGGAATCATGCTCCTTCCCCAACTTTGTCATCTTAAAAATTGGGTCATAAGAGATCCAAATGTTCGTGAATCTCATCTGCATGATAGAGGCAACTCTATAAAGAAAAATAAATAAATACAGACCATTGAAGCGAGATTACATGTATCACCTATAAAATAGTTTCATTTTGAACAATTCAATTTACATAATAAATAAAATATTAACAGTATATCCAAGATCATAAATTGCCGCAAAGAATTAGCAGCTTACAAAAGTTCGTTAGTCCGTGTTAGATTTCAATGACCCAAAAGATTAATTATTTCACAGGTACGAAAAAAAATAATTATTTAAAAAATGGCAGAAAGAACGATAGACAAAATATATTGACGGATACTTTAATTAAATATGTCATGTACTGTTTTGTTACTGCACTAATAAAAGAAGCTATTAAAAAGTGAAACATTAACTCTCTGATATTAAGATATATTAAATTTAAATGAAATACCTGAATGATACTTAAGTAAAATACTTAATAAATAAATTTAATAAATATTATAATAAATTTAATTAATTAAAATTTAATTAATTAAAAATTAAAATAAATTTAATAATAAAACTTTTACCATATATGATAAATATACTTAAACGATTACTTACTTATCCACAGCAATAACATATTCATTTTCATAATTGGTCTGCGCATTAAGTTGAATGCCCATAGCGCTATCTGCAACGAAGAAAAAAAAAAGACATGTCTAAGTTCGAATGCGACTCATACAAAAATAAATCAGAATGAATAAATGTAAGCAGATTAAATTTATCTGTGCAATTTGAACTTAGCATGATACGAGATGACATAATATATAGTAAATTAAGCTGTCAAAGTGGCAAATTAGCTGAGTAATCAACGATCATAATGTATACGCGTATCCGGACATAATATGAGCAATTAAAAATTAATAAATTCTGGCTTAGTGACTACTAGCACATTATTAACGGTATACTGAGAAACGAGGATCGGGTTCCCGCGCATTTCAGTTTCGTCACAAAACTCAATTGAGAATCTATAAAGCCATCAAGTTACAAACATAAAATCAGATAAGTATAATGATTATTATTCACGTAATAACGTTTGGCTCGGTACGCACAAGATGTGAATTGTCGTCTCGCGTCTTCAACGTCTGAGAACTAAAAATCACCGATTCATGTCGACAATGTCAATGTGTCAAGGTGTCATTGAAGCTTAATGTAGCATTACTGGCAATAAACAACGGTAATTGTAATAGATTCAAAAAGATAAGCGCTACGCGCGCTGAAAGCGTCAGTTGAAATCAGCAATCAACAGAACGACCGGCGAAACGCAATCGACCATCTGAAGAATCGATCGATATGGTTTGTGCAGTTTATTATCATATCCATCGATCAAAATGTCAATTCAAAATTCTACTGGTGTTATAACCAAAAAGGTGCAACAGTAAATTTCCGACAAATCCGCGGGACTCACGGCGCTTCACATGGATTCACCGATCGAGACGGAGCCAACGAGCGAGAGAGGCGCTTCTTCAAGTTCAAACGAGCAGTCGGTTTCGCGCGATGACGGTGCGGGTGATTCGCCAGTTTCTAAAACCACCGTGTCGGTATCCCAGAAGAAGGGTTCCGTGTTCATCGCGCCAGCAGCCTCGTGGCTGTCCGCCACCCTGCGAAATCGCACACGAACTCGGACCTACCGGGCGGATCTGACTACAGTGAGAGAGAAGCTCTTTACACGCTCGAATAAATTTCACTTTCGCGGGAAATTCACGAAAAACCTGCGTCAAACCGACGCAGGTAAAAATATCCGCTCTGTTGTATGAGATAACAGAACGAACGAGACAACTGGCTGAACCTCGGCGTCGCGTGGCGATCCAAGCTGCGATTCGAGAGCCTTTGAAGAGCAATCCTCGGACGTCTCGCATCGTTGAACTCGCCCTGCCGAAAGTGAGGCATCGGTTGCCGGCGAGAGCCGTTAATTTCATATCGCCGGGCGCACTTAGGGCGAACGGTAATTAATAATTCAAAGCGCACGGCTGCCTATCGTATGATATGATGGAAGTATCGAAGTTCCAAGAATCTGCCCACGCAGCGCGATTGATGATTAGTTATAACGCGTAAACATAACATGTTGTTTATTGCAAACGACAGCCACGCCACGGATAATCGAGCTGTCGCAACCGCGTGGGGGCGGTCGTCGTTTCGAATTACCGAATAAGACGTCAGAGCGCTTGTGCAATTTGAGAGCGACGCGTGGTTTACCAGCGCTACCGAAGCTACCGGATCGCTCGCGCCCCGAAGCGACGTCATGCAAACCGTCGGCGGACAACCGAGAACCGATAAAATTACCTCAAGGATACCCACGGTAACGCAGTTTCGCCTGTTTTCCGCCGATATCCTCCGCCGAGTTTCCGATAGCGTCGCGACGTTTCCGTCGCGTTCAACGCGAATTTCACTGCAGCGATTCGACTTGGAGCAACGAAACGTCGAAGAAGCGCAAACGAAGAAACGACGAAGGAAAGAGGATAATGGAAGAATCTACGGCGAGGAGGCGAGGATTGCCGCTGCGTGTGGGCCGATCGAACTCGAACAGGAGCGTCGTTATCGTCAACGTAAACAGAAAGAAGCATTCGCGATCTAGCGCCGTTCGCAAGTCTCGCGACGCTCGAGCCCGCGGATCCTCGAAAATCAGACGCGCTCGTTGATTGCTGTTCTGGGTAAAACATTATCTTATCGAACGCAACCTGTTCTTTGAAATTGATTTTGATCTGCATAAAATCTACATAAAAAATCAGATATATGCCGATCGAAGTTCTTCGATATGACGCATAGTGCGACTCGCATAGTATATATTTCTTTCAATGCGCACTAAAGCGACGTTCTCGCCGAACTGCAGTCGATCGCTCATATTATTGAACTCAAGACAGGCTACTTCGATTTCATTGGGTCAGTCAGCGGATCGTCGACTCACCACAAATAATGTCGAGGGTTGTACGTTTCATGTACGGGACAACGTCAAAGTCCGACTTGCCGATTTGTCCCTTCAGACAAGAAATCAGAGTGTCCGCTTCTCTCACGACGATCTTTAGGTAATCGTTGAGAAGGTGACTGTGAAACGTCGATGACAGTAGCTTCCTGCGATGATGCCATTTCTCACCTGGAAGCAAAACACGAGACGAGACGAAAATCACTTTGATGTGAACGACGCGTCATCGCGTCTACATGTATCAAAACTACCGATCGAATCTGCCAATTTATCAGCAGAAAAATATATAGCTGAAGTTTCAAATACACTTCCTCGATCTTTCTCAGAATCGTTCCAAGCGGTCACGTAAATAAACTGCTAAATAATTTTACGACCAGATAAATGACTATACAAATGAAACGCAATAAATCATTACGTGGCAGCCATGTTTACACACGGTTATATTCATAAAAAGTATATTTATTCGCATAACTTGTGCGTCGTTAGCAAACTTCGACAAGAATACAACACGGCACGCGTCCGATTTGAATAAGAAAAACATGTTTTTACTTTGGCTGTCGATATTTGTCCATATTAATGATCGCCAAGCGATGTATTTTAAAATCGAATCATGATATTTCGTCGTGAGACTTCTCTCTTTATTTTTTTTTATAGCTTTTGAGATTGTGCATATTTTATACGCAGGCAACACCTGTTATTTTCAACGTTAGTAATATCTCAATAAACAAGTCTCTCGATATAATTAGTACGTCGGGAAAATTTTGATTGACCTCTCCGCATGTTGACTAACGAAATCTTTCCTGTTTTGAATTTTAAACGTGTGAACACGAAATTACGTGGAGCCGCTTACAACTCTGCCTTGAATAATTCTGCGACGTTGCAAAAAAAAATACACGGAAAAAATGTTTGATTAAATATACAGGGTGTCTGGGGTCTTTTGAAAACGAAAAATTAATCAGATCAAACTGAGAAGAAAAGTCACGTGCCATTTTGCAGAAATCGCAATAGTTATGAATGAAGTTATTAATGACAGAAAATAACCACATCTAGAGGCTCTTTTAATTGATAACTTGAAAATTTGCGTACTTATTTGCAAAATGGTAAAGGACTTTTTTGTTCAGAATGACTTAATCTACAATTATATGACGGCTATTGTGTCTAGCAATAGGTATGAGTATATTGAACTTTGAATCCTGAAGTTGTTGCTAAGCACAATCCGTCATATAATTATACATAGCCGTCATATAATTATGCCCCTAATGTCTCGTCCGGATGGAGAAACTATGTAATCGTGCCCCTGCACGCGCCTTGGCAACAGAATTCAAAAAATCCGCCACTCAGAAGCAAACGTCGCTCCGTGCCGTGGCGTCCGTGTTTCTGTGCGCTGCACGCGCCTTCGTTCTTCATTGTGTTCTGTTCGTTAGCCTTGGTAACACGTGCGTTGGTTAACTTTATCAGTTTCTTTCAGTTAATTTGTGCCAATTCTCTTTTTTAGCCATGCCTAGGCATAAAAAATCTAAAGAATTCCTCCTCGAGACACTCGAGAGAGGAAAGGCGCGCACATACGCACAGTTCAAGATTACTCGGGGGACAGGCAATCGCGGGACCGTTCACGCAGTAGATCGTGGAATGCACGTCCATCTTGTATTTCTCGGACGCCAGAGGATCTGTGTTCTCGAGGTTCCCTCGTGGAAATTCTCGATCGAATGCGTGAGTTTATCACCTCCAGAGAAGTCGAGTATAATCTCCATTCTAAGGAGTGCTCAGGAGGTTATGTAATCCTCAGAACCGTCCGCAGGAGCCCCTCAAGTATTCCTCAGGAAGGTTCCGGTACTACCTCCTTCTTCACGCCACAGGTTCTAGATCAGATTGTAGAAGAGCAGCCGATCGCACAAGCGACCGGGGCGTTGTCCCACCAGGTATGTCCTCTTGTCGACCCAGCAATATTTGATAAATCCTGGCAAAGAGAGGACATAACCGAATGTCTCTTCTATCCGGCTACACCGGTTTTTTCGCAAGTCGATAAGGTCGAGCCTCTGTCTCCCGGCACGGTGGCTTTCGCTGAGACTCTTGTCACTATCCTTCCGGATTCTGAAGATCCGCTGGCTGCTCCAACGTCTCATACCTCGGCCAGAGAACTGTTTGGGGAATCTGAGATTCCTCCAGCAATATCTTCTTGAGATCCTATCATTCTAGAATCGATCCAAGCAAAATCCCGAGCAGATTTGAGTGAGGAAACTCGTAATTGTCTTCTGGCTAAATACAAAGTCAAGGACCTTGCAGCATTAGCTTCACTCAAACGCAATAACGAGATCGTAGCGGCTTTAAGCTTTTCTATCTTCAAGAGAGACGAGTACTACTCACTCTTGCAAGCACAAGTAACTACTTGCCTCAATGCCTTGAGCTCACAGTGAATACGTCTGTTTTCGAACCCCTATTATCGCCTCTCTCTGACAAGAGCCTTTGTTAACCTTCTCTCAATATTATTGGCAAGAATGCTGCGGACACGGCGCCTTTGGACGAATTCCTTTTCGGCCACAATTTTGCCGAAACCTTAAAGGCAGGTCAGGCCTGTAAGAGGACGAGTCGCGAGGTCGCCAAACTGACACCTGTTTCAGGAAGGTAGACGCTGCAACCCATTCGTCAGCAGGCGCCTCGTCCGCAAAATCAGGCATCCAGGCCACAACTCTGGGAAACCGCAAGGCCCCTGTTTGTCTCCCGTTGGCTCGACAAACAGGAGCCTCTTACATCAGGAGCCGCCGTCAAAGTCAGGGACCCAGTCTCGTTATTTACATTAACCCTTAGCGCTCCGTTGGCTCCGCTGTGGAGACATCCATCATTTATTTCGTAACTTCGGTGGCTCCGCTGTGGAGACATTCTAGTATTAACATCAATACCGCCAGTTGCTTTTTGAAATTACAAGCACTTGTAATTTTTTCCGTTCAAAGTGAAATTTCTCTTTCCCAAACGCTCCATTACAAAAGTGCTGCCGGAGTTGCCAGAGTAGGCAGTGATAAGAAAACGCGCGGAGTGCAAAGGGTTAAGCAATATAAAAACTGCCTTGCTTTGCGATTTTAAAGTAAACCGCTTATTACCCAATGGTGCTATTGAACCAGTCGAATCTTGCAAACATCAACTTTATTATTTTTGGGCGAAAAGTCATCTGGAGGGAAACGCCTTATACTAAGCTTGTGTGATCTAAGCACAATCTATATCAGTCCCGCCTACCCGCCGGGGAAAAATTGCTACGCTTAACAACACGAATCGTTCACACCTCAAGATGCTATATTCAAAAGTCGCTAGTTTTATCGGCTCGATCGTCTCAGTATGCCTAGCAGACCAATACGGGTTGCTTTATACTAAAAATTTGAGAGAGCAAAATAGCTCTAGCCCTTCTTCAATCGGAGGGAGATTATTCAGCTTTGATGAACATCCCTTCGGATCTAATCGACGATCTCATGTGGTGGATTAATATATTCTCGAATCCTCACCAGTCAAATAGAATTTGTTCAGGTAGATTTATCCGAGGAAAATTTTCGGATGCATCTTTGAACAGTTGGGAAGCTTCTTGTAGCAACTCTCGCACACACGCCCGGTGGTCAGCAGATGACAGAGCCCTTCATATAAACGCACTAGAATTGAAAGCGGCGTTTAACGCTCTTCGATATTTCGCAGCAGATTTCAGTGACTATGGCCGGTATTCATAGTCGGATCTTATATTTAAGACCGTCTTAAGTTTATCTTCAAATTCTGTACAAAGCATTTCATTGGCTATAGAATATCTGAAAGTGAACTTAAGACGGTCTTAAATATCATATAAGACCTGACTATGAATACCAGCCTATGTCATTTTACTTCGCATCGATAATACCACTGCACTTGCTTACATTAACAAATTTGGTTCCGTTCAATATCCCCGTCTGCCTGCAATCTCAGGGGAAATCGGATGCTGATGGAGAAGAATATTTTCATTTTCGCGCTGTAGTCACCAGAACGGAAACGAGCAAACCAATATTGATACTGGTGTTCTTTTAGAGCTTCGTCACCATAAACTTTACGCAACTTTTCACAAGCCTGCACAGAGACTGCGTTAAAAGAACAGTGTCGGAGTTGGTTTGCAAAATTTCGTTCTGGAGATTTAGATATAAAAGATGCAGCACGTTCAAGAAGACCAACGTTGATGAAGACAAACTAAAAGCATTGGTCGAAACAAATCGTCATTCCACCACTCGAGAAATCGTATAGGCATTAAATATGTCGCACATAAAAGTGTTGCAACTCATTTAAAAAAACTTGGCTTCATTCAGAAGTTCGATATTGAGTGCGTGAATTGACAGAAATTCATCTCATACGACGCATGGACATTTGCAATTCACTACTGAAATGTGAAAAATGGTCCATTTCTTAAGCAAACGATAACTGAAAGACGACAAGAAATGAATCATCTACAATAATGTTCAACGGAAACGCTCATGGTCGTCAAGACGAGATGGACCAGGTCAATCAACGCCAAGAACAGATATTCATCAAAAAAGATCATGTTGCCAGTGTAGTGGGATTAGAAAGGTGTGGTGTTTTTCAAACTATTTTTAATGAACCAATTAACGGTTGATTCGAATGTCTATCGTCGCCAATTAGATTAATTGAATGCAGCTATTCGTATGAAGAAACCAAAATTGGAGAATAAAAAAAGTGTAGTGTGTTCCATCATGATGACGCAAGACTACATACAAGTTTAATGACTTGCCGAAAATTATTAAAGCTTGATTGGGATGTGCTGCCACATCCACCATATTTATTTGTTTCTATAAATTGTCTTTACAAAATTCTTCAAATGGTGTAAACTTCGATTCAAATGAAGGTGTAAAAAATCACTTGACTCAATTTTTTGCCATTAGGGCAAGACTTCTATGAGCGCGGAATTATGAAGTTGGTTGAAATATGTTAGAACAAAATGGTCCATACATAACTGTATAAAGTTTTCATTTTCTATAAAAAAATCGTCTTTTATTTCTTCAACAAAATCGGCAATCACTTTCTTTACAACCCAACAGTTTTCGAGATATTCAGGTTCAAAGAAGAAATAAAGAATCGTAATTTTAAGTCAGATCAAAGTCGTTTATTTTTTAAAAATGAGAACTACTTTTTACCGTATTTTCGGATTTATCGGA